AATTCCATAAAATCACCACAAAAATCTCCACTAATTTCCGCAAAATCTAAGGAAAATCCCACACAATTCTTCAAGGCTCCTCAAAATCCCACAAAATTCCAGAAAATTACCACAACATTCCAAAAAAATCCCACCAAATTCCAAAAATCTTCTCGTAAGCCCACCAAATTTCAGAAACATCCCACAAAATCTCCACTAATTTCCACACAATCTAAGAAAAATGTACTCAAAATTCTTCAAGTCTCCTCAAAATCCCACAAAATTCCAGAAAATTACCACAACATTCCAAAACAATCCCACCAAATTCCAGAAACACCTCACAAACTTCCAAAAAAACCCCCCACGAAGTCCCCAAAATCTTCTCATAAGCCCACCAACTTCCAGATACATCCCGCACAATCTTTACAAATTTCCACTAAACCTAAGAAAGATCCCTCAAAGTTCTTCAAGTCTCCTCAATATGCCACAAAATTCCACAGAAACTCCACAACATTCCAAAAAAAATCCTAAAAATTCCAGAAACACCCCACAAATTCCTTCAAGTCTCCTCAAAATGTTACAAAATTCCAGACAATTCCTCAACATTCCAAAGAAATCCCACCAAATTCCAGAAACATCTCACAAAATTCCAGAAAAAAAAAGCAAAATTACCCAGAATCTTCTCATAAGCCTACCAAATTCCAGAAATATCCCACAAAATCTCCACAAGTTTCCACACATTCTAAGAAAAATCCCACACAATTCTTCAAGTCTCCTCAAAATCCCACAAAATCCACGAAAACAGCCACAACATTCCAAAAAAATCCAACAAAATTCCCTAAATCTTCTGAAAACCCCACAAAATTACAGAAAATCTCCACTAATTTCCACAAAATCTAAGAAAAATCCCACACAATTCTTCAAGGCTCCTCAATATCCTACAATATTCACGAAAATTACCACAACTTTACAAGTAAATTCCAGAAAATTCCCTTAAACTTCTGAAAACCCCACCAAATTCCAGAAACACCCTACAAAATCTCCACTAATTTCCACGCAATCTAAGAAAAAGGCCCTCAAAATTCTTCAACTCTCCTCAGAATCCCACAAAATTCCAGACAATTCCAAAACATTCCAAAGAAATCCCAAATTCCAGAAACATCTCACAAAATTCCAGAAAAAATAAGCAAAATTACCCAGATCTTCTCATAAGCCCACCAAATTCCAGAAACATCCCACAAAATTCCAGAAAAAATAAGCAAAATTACCTAAATCTTCTCAAAACCCTACCAAATTCCAGAAATATCCCCCAAAAAATCTCCACAAGTTTCCACACATTCTAACAAAAATCCCACATAATTCTTCAGGGCTCCTCTATATCCTACAAAATTCCACAGAAACCCCAAACATTCCAAAAAAATCCAAAAAATTCTAGAAACATCCCACAAAATCCTTCAAGTCTCCTCAAAATCCCACAAAATTCCAGACCATTCCATAACATTCTAAAGAAATCCCATCAAATTCCAGAAACATCCCACAAAATTCCAGAAAAAAATCCACAAAACCCCCAATATCTTCTCATAAGCCCACCAAATTCCAGAAATATCCCACAAAAATCGCCTCAAATTTCCACACAATCTAAGAAAAATCCCACACAATTCTTCAAGGCTCCTCAAAATCCCACAAAGTCCAAGAAAACTGCCAAAACTTCCCCAAAAAATCCAACAAAATTCCCTAAAGCTTCTGAAAACCCACCAAATTCCAGAAAATCACCACAAAAATCTCCACAAATTTCCACAAAATCTAAGAAAAATCCCACACAATTTTTCAAGGCTCCTCAAAATCCCACAAAATTCAAGAAAATTATCACAACATTCCAAAAAAATCCCACCAAATTCCAAAAATCTTCTCCTAACCCTACCAAATTCCAGAAACATCCCACAAAATTCCAGAAAAAAATCCACAAAACTCCCTAAATCTTCTCATAAGCCCACCAAATTTAGAAATATCCCACAAAAATCTCCACAAATTTCGGCACAAAGAAAAATACCACACAATTCTTCAAGGCTCCTCAAAATCCTACAAAATTCCAGAAACACCCCATCAAACTTGCAAAAAAACCCGCACGAATTTCCCAAAATCTTCACATAAGCCCACCAAATTCCAGAAACACCCCACAAAATCTCCACAAATTTCCACGCAATCTAAGAAAAATCCCACACAATTCTTCAAGTCTCCTCAGAATCCCACAAAATTCCAGACAATTCCACAACATTCCAAAGAAATCCCACCAAATTCCAGAAACATCCCACAAAATTCCAGAAAATCTCCACAAAACCCCCAATATCTTCTCATAAGCCCACCACATTCCAGAAATATCCCACAAAATCGCCTCAAATTTCCACACAATCTAAGAAAAATCCCACACAATTCTTCAAGGCTCCTCAAAATCCCACAAAATCCAAGAAAACTGCCACAACATTCCAAAAAAATCCAACAAAATTCCCTAAATCTTCTGAAACCCCCACAAAATTCCAGAAAATCACCACAAAATTTCCACAAAATTTAAGAAAAACCCCTCAAAATTCTTCAAGTCTCCTCAGAATCCCACAAAATTTCAGAAACATTCCACAAAATACCAGAAAAAAACCCACAAAATTCCCAAAATCTTCTCATAAGCTTACAAAACTCCAGAAATAGCCCACAAAAATCTCCACAAGTTTCCACGCAATCTAAGAAAAATCCCACACAATTCTTCAAGTCTCCTCAAAATCCTACAAAATTCCAGAAACATTCAACAATATTACAGAAAAAACCCACAAAATTCCCTAAATCTTCTCAAAACCCTACCAAATTCCAGAAATATCCCACTTAATCTTCACAAATTTCCACAAAGCCTAAGAAAAATCCCACAAAATTCTTCAAGGCTCCTCAATATCCTACAAAATTCCTCAAAAACCCCACAACATTCAAAAAAAATCCTAACAATTCTAGAAACAACCCACAAAATCTCTCAAGTCTTCTCAGAATCCCACAAAATTCCAGACAATTCCACAACATTCCAAAGAAATCCCACCAAATTCCAGAAACACCTCAAAAATTCCAGAAAAAAATCCACAAAATTCCCAAAATCTTCTCATAAGCCTACCAAATTCCAGAAATATGCCACAAAATCTCCACAAGTTTCCACGCAATCTAAGAAAAACCCCTCAAAATTCTTCAAGTCTCCTCAGAATCCCACAAAATTCCAGAAACATTCCACAAAATTCCAGAAAAAACCCACAAAATTCCCTAAATCTTCTCAAAACCCTACCAAATTCCAGAAATATCCCACATAATCTTCACAAATTTCCACAAAGCCGAAGAAAAATCCCACAAAATTCTTCAAGGCTCCTCAATATCCTACAAAATTACTCAAAAACCCCACAACATTCAAAAAAAATCCTAACAATAATAGAAACAACACACAAAATCTCTCAGGTCTCCTCCAAATCCCACGAAATTCCAGACAATTCCACAACATTCCAAAGAAATCCCACCAAATTCCAGAAACATCCCACAAAATTCCAGAAAAAAATCCACAAAACCCCCAATATTCCAGAAAATTACGACAGCATTTCAAAAAAATCCCACCAAATTCCAAAAATCTTCTCATAAGCTTACCAAATTCCAGAAACATCCCACAAAATCTCCACTAATTTCCACACAATCTAAGAAAAATGTACTCAAAGTTCTTCAAGTCTCCTCAGAATCCCACAAAATTTCAGACAGTTCCACAACATTCCAAAGAAATCCCACCAAATTCCAGAAACATCCCACAAAATTCCAGAAAAAAATCCACAAAACCCCCAATATCTTCTCATAAGCCCACCAAATTCCAGAAATATCCCACAAAAATCGCCTCAAATTTCCACACAATCTAAGGAAAATCCCACACAATTCTTCAAGGCTCCTCAAAATCCCACAAAATCCAATAAAACTGCCACAACATTCCAAAAAAATCCAACAAAATTCCCTAAATCTTCTCAAAACCCCACCAAATTCCAGAAACACCCTACAAAATCTCCACTAATTTCCACACAATCTAAGAAAAAGGCCCTAAAAATTCTTCAAGTCTCCTCAGAATCCCACAAAATTCCAGACAATTCCACAACATTCCAAAGAAATCCCACCAAATTCCAGAAACACCTCAAAAATTCCAGAAAAAAATCCACAAAATTCCCAAAATCTTCTCATAAGCTTACAAAACTCCAGAAATAGCCCACAAAAATCTCCACAAGTTTCCACGCAATCTAAGAAAAATCCCACACAATTCATCAAGGCTGCTTAAAATCCCACAAAATTCCA